AGCATTCCCCCTCCTGGCCCACACAGGCTGGGAGCCAGCAGCCCTCCACACACAGTAGGCCATGGGCAGAAGGTTGCTCCCTGGTAACCGTTAACTGTTACCAAGTCACATCCCCTATTTCACACCACAATATAGGGGCATAAACAGGCCCAAATAATATCCCCCAGCACACCAATCTCCATACTGGGAATTAGATCCCTGCTTTGGAAGATGTCCAGCTTAGAATTCATAGCATAGGGAGTGGCCAGTCCCCTCCACAATACTGCCTCAAGAAGCAGGGTTACATTTGGTGCTGCTTGTAGACAGTCAAGGATGTATTTTTTTCCCATGTCTTTGGTTAGTTCTCTTCCTTAACACTGAAGAGCAACAGTGTAAAAAAAAAAATATATATATATTTTTTAAACTCAGAACTGCCACTGAAAGTATTCAAAATCACATTTATTACAACACTGTCTTTTTTCTGTTGGTACTTCAGAGCCAACAGCTTTGGAAAGCAAGATGGAGCCTATTCTGGCTCTTAAAGACCTTAGAAATTCTGTTGTCTACACAGTGCCTAATGCCTACACTGCATAAAAATCCCATGACAGGCACTGAGACTCCATGACTCTGTCGAGCTCGTTCAGAGACTCTATTGCTGTGGTTTTTATTTTATTTATTTATTTGGTGCTTTGGTTCTTGCACAGTGGCTGGGAATACAGAGCAGTGATTTTATAACATTGCTATTCAGAGACATGCACTGTTAAAAAGAAACCTAGATATTAGTGCAGGCTTCAAAGAAAGCCCCCAATGTTTGAAAGTATGGAAATACACAGGCCACTCAGCAACTCTAATAATGGCACCTGATGGCACCCTCACAGGAGTGCATTTCGGGGGAGGATGGTGGCAGAACAAAAACACCACTATCCATCCAGCTCTGCTTTCAACTCAATTGACCACAGACACTAAGATGTTCTGCTCCTAACTGCACGGCTATTGTGCAAGGCACCTATTGTAGAAATTTTTTATTAGACAGCAAATTAAAGCATCATTGGTCATTCTTTAGTGCAATTCCATATGCCACCAATAATACAAATTCTTAATTAGACTGAATATTAAAGGCTGTCATTGCCCCATTGAGGCTCCATGTGCTACCAATTATCAAATTAGGAATTTCTATAAAGAGCATGCTGAAGTCCATCAGTCTGCATTGTTTATTAAGATTCCATGTGCCACCAATTAAGGATCAGCAAATACAAACCCTAGGCCCAGATCAAGGAATAAAGGCCACTTCAAAACTTAAGGTAAGGGTACTCCTTTATCATCACACTAGCATTAGACATACATGTCTTTACAAATACAGTATCTTTAAAGTTGACGGTTTGTATTTTTAAAGAATGCAGACTTTAACTGTCACAAAATGAAGACAATAATAGCGTGGTCAGTGAATCAATACGTTGACTCTTACACAAAGATATCCACTCTCCTAACCGGAATTTCTTAAAAGCCCTTATAAAAGGTTTTGTTGAAAAATGTTACATCTTGCAAAGCAGAGGGCCTAATCCTACAAACCTCTAGGTAGCTATGTGAATAGCAATGCCTAGAACCTGTCTCTAGCTGTGAAAAATAGAGAAAAGAAGATTGGAGGCTTGTTTTGATAGAACCGGTCTCTAGCTGTGAAAGAAATAGAGAAAAGAAGATTGGAGGCTTGTTTTGCTATAGGTTAAGGCTGCAGGAGTGGTAGAATTGTTCATTTCCATGCTTTTGAATGTTAGATTAAGCTAAGGTTAATTCTGTGTCCTGGGGTTTATTTTTTATAATTAACCCACCTTAACACCGCTTAGCAAAGTGCTCTATGTCTAGGGATTTAGAGCCTTGTGTTCAAAAGGTAATTTACAAGGGTCAACTGTGATTTTTAGACATAAAAGCATTCAGAATGGAGTTTACAGAAAAGACTATAGAAATGACCCTGGGGGGCGGGTATTCATGTTTATATGGTTTTTTTCTCAATGACAAGGGTCAACTGTGGTTTTTAAGACATCAGCTCTCTCAGTGCAGAGGTCAAAAGCTGACTGTTTAATGGAAAGCTCAAACCTCCACCTGTGATCTCAGGTAGTAGTAATGGTATATTTTCTGCCTCTCATCTCTACTGCTGAAGGAATTTTCAGTAACAACTGACATGTCTCATGCCTTGGGCACATTCTTTCAAAGCTTATTGACTGGCTTATTGTGCCAGCCCTGTACTTTACTCAGCACCTGACATGAAGGTGCACACAGCAGATGTTCGCTTGGTTTACTGAAACAAAATTGTGTAAAATGGAACCTTCTTTACAAAGTCACTCACCAGACCAGAACAGCACTGTAGTTTAAGCTGAAAACAAATTACACTTTAGCAGAAAGTCACAGCACAGTGCTGAAGGCAGATCATATCTAACTCCACAAGGTTATGCAAATTCATATGCAACCCTTTCAGCCATTTTGCTTCCCGACCTATTGCTCAGAGCCTTCTGCACTGGTGAAGATAAATGCAACAACCTAGAAGTGTGGGGCGTAAAAGGGTGGGTCTAATCGGCAAGATGCTGAAAGATACCAAGTATTTCATGAGAGGTGCAGTAGTGTTCCTACTAATTTTTTAATGTTCATATATAGAATGAATTTTGCAATGTGCACCACTATGAAGGTGGGAATACATCAATTCCATACTGGTGCACATGCAAAATTCATTCCACACATGTATGGACTGACTGGGGCAGCAAGGTTCACAGTGTGGTAAGTGGGCTCAGGGCTGGGGCAGAGGTCTGTGAGGGGTAAGTGCGGGAAGAGCTGTGAAAGGTAGAAAAAGGACTCTCCCCAACCCTCTCTTGCCACAGCAGCTCAGGGTAGGTCCAGTTAGGTCACTGGTCCCTTTCCCCTGGCCGTGTCAGGTCTGAACTAGCGCTGGATCAGGAGAGGGGAGCCATGGCAGGTCCAACAAGGGCTGGGTTAGGGCAAGGGAGGAGAGAGCCACAGCAGGTGTGGCTTTGGGAGAAGCATCTCTCTCCACAATGGCCTTGCATGTTTATGTGGTGCTTAAAAGGGAGCTGTGTGGTCGTGCATCTTAGAACTTAGGCAGTGAGCCACTGATCCTCTTTGAAAGCCACGAAAGTGCTCAACATTTTAAAGGACTGGGCCCCAAATTCCCAGTTATTCCAGCTCAAGAACATGAATTTTGATCCCCTTCTCAAGGAGTCCCCACTGCCACTTATAGCATTCTCCATCTCATGTATGTATTTCAGCTACTAAAGCTCACAGGATTATTCCTATTTCAAGATATGAACAAGGAAACACCCATACCAAAGTGAACACAGTGCATAGTAGAACCTCAGAGTTACTAGCCTCAGGAATGGAGGTCGTTTAACTTTGAAATGTTTGTAGTTCGGACCATGACATTATGGTAGGGTTTTTTTTTTTCCAGAAGTTTGTAACTGAACATTGAGTTAGCTTTGCAGAGGAAATGATGCTTTTTTAGTAGTTTATATCTAACACAGCACTATACTGTAGGGCTGTGTCTAGACTGCATCCCTTTTCCGTAAAAGGGATGCAAATTAGACAGCGCAATTGCAATGAAGTGTGTGGGGGGGGATTTATATCCCCCCCGCTTCATT